AAAAAAAAAAAAAAAAAAAAAAAAAAAAAAAAAAGGCATCTGCTTTTGAACACAGTCCCCAACTCCTGAAGAAGATGTTCGAGTGCCAAGAAGGAAGGACGTCAACAGCAAGCTGTGGGCGGAACGTAAACTTCGATGCGGCTTATTGATGACGATGACATCCGGCCCAAAGTTGTTCTGAAAGGTCTACGACGTCTGCCCCAAAGTGGTCCTGAAACGTCAGAGTCGGTGGGGGTCCCGATTCACAGACCCATTCCCAAAGCAGTTCCAGGAACCTGGCCAACGACGATCCGATCCGGTGATTCACGGACCCAGTCCCAAACAAGTCCCAACAGCCTACGAGTGCGCACTCTTCCACATGCTCCCGCCAAAACTTTCTGCAGATTGTCACCTGCAAAGTCGCACACACACACGACGGCGGAAACCGTCAAGGCGAATGGCAGTACAACTACCAAAAAAAAACTTTCCTTTTTTTTTTTTTTTTTTCCCCTTAAATAAACCAGGTCCTTATGGGCCTGGGTCCATGTCCATTCGGCCTACCAGACCGCATTGGCTGGACGCCACAGCCAAAATGAAAACAAAACCGAGCGACGGCGGTTCGGCAGGACTTGGCGCGCAGGGGGCTGGGAGGCTCAGCTTCGATAGCTGGGCCAAGTACTGGTGGTTTAACACGATTCCATTCACCCTCAGAAAACCACCAGTTCACACGAGGCGGTGAACCTTCCAAGGCTCGCGAGCATCTGACCATAGTGGCCGTCCGCGTTCGCTGCAGGACCACGCCCGAAGCGTCGTGCCCTTCCTTGCTGTGTGTAAGCCGGTAAGAGCCTGAACTTAGCTTCGGGCAAACTGGTGTTTTAGCACCACTGGATAATTCAAAAAAAAAAAAAAAAAAAAAAAAAAGCAAGAAATTCAAGAGACTTGTATTCGGATTACACGTGCTTTCGTGCAGTGGTGCCAAGCCGTTGGTTGTGTGTTCGAGTCTTGTATTCGGATTACACATGCTTTCGCAGAGTAACCGCCGTAGAGATTGTACTATGTGCAGTGTGGCTGCGTAGGGGTGAGTGTGGTTGGGTACACCGTGTCGCGGGATCTCCGAGCTGGGGTGGGGTGAAGTGCTCATCTTGGGGCTTCACTTTCACCCCAGCCCACTTAGCCTTATGGTTAGGTGTTTGCCTGCCGTGCTGGGGATGGAAGCTGACATAGTGGCGTCCGTGCTGGGGTGAGGTGGGGGCTTCACTTTCACGAGGCCGTTGGTTGTGTGTTTGACTCTTGTATTCGGATTACACCCCACCCCAGCACGGAGGCCACTATGTCAGATGCTTCCCACCCCAGCACGGGTGATAGCGGGGGCTTCACTTTCACGAGGCCGTTGGTTGTGTGTTCAACTCTTGTATTCAGATTACACAGGGACCGGTTGACCAGCCGGGCCAAAAATGAATTGAAAAAAATAAAAATAAAAATAAATTATAAAAATAAACAGTTCACTAACTTTACTTGTATTTTTTTTTTTTTTGTTCCACAAAGAATTTCGGTCCGACCCTGAGAAGAAGGACTGCAGTCACTAAGCTCGTGGCATGAGCTTTGCCTGGCCGGAGAGCCTCGCTCAGCTCATAGCTGCGGTGCGGTGACTCTTGTAACGGAAGCCGGGCCCGGCTCCCCGTTTTCATATTAATAAAGATTGATCCTTTTTTAGGCTTTTTCAAATAATAAAACTTAAAAAAAAAAAAAATTCGCAATTTATTTTTCTGCACAACATCTTTTTTTAGTAAATGTTTACCGCATTTCGTTGATTTTTTTTTTTTTTTTTTTTACAGGGACCTTCCCTGGTCCTTGCCCGGCTGGGCTACTCGCCTCATGCACAAAAGACCAAAAAAAACAATATGGCGGTGTACCTTGCCATCTTCTACCGGAAGATTCATTCTCATTTTTCCACATTTGGAAAATGGTGGAGCGAGCCCCATAATTCAACCATATCTCCGTCTTGAATCTTGTTCACCCCATCAACGCATGGGCAATCTCATCTCTTCACAAATGGTTAACCGGTGCCCCCACTTTTCTTATAAATGGGGGTGAAAATTTGGGGGTCGGTTAACCTTCTGTCCATCTCTTACGTTAAAAACCACCAGTACCTTTCCCTCCGTATCTCGACCGCGGGCCCTGCGCGCCAGCCCGGAAATCGAGAATGGCTTCCGATCGCTTTATCGGCGGCCGCCGTTCCGTTTCAGGCCAGCGCATTACCCGGCGCGCCTCTGAAAAAAAAGCTGGGAAAGGTATTGGTGGTTTAAACAACCCTACCTATTCTACAGCTTGCCAATCACGTTCCTTCACCCAAACACGCCGCACTGTCGTTACAACGGTATTTGTGCCGGAAGGCACAGGATGTCTTTCTTTTTTTTTTTTTTTTGATTTGTTTGTTTGTTTGGAAGCACCACTACCTTTCCCGCGGATGGGAAAACGGGAAAATAGCCAACTACTAAAAAATCGGACGCTGGGCCCGACAACAGCCGCCATTGATAAACCTCATCGGCGGCCGACGGCCGTAGTTTCCTTTCGGCCTCCTAAAGAATCCTCTCTCTCTCTCTCTCTCTCTCTTTCTCTCTCTCTCTCTCCTCCTCCTCGGCGGCTCATATTGTGAAAGGTAGTGGTGGTTAAAAATAAAAAAAAAGCTGTCTTCTCCTCATCGAGCGACAGCTGCATAAATATTTTTCTCTCTCAATTTCTTACACTTGAGACCATCGGGACGCTCGGGCATACTCACACTAGCACTCTGCAGAATGCATCTGACTGCAATTACGGCTAGACTTGGATGAATCTGACCACAATCACGTCCAGAGCGTGTTCTGTTTCAGTGAGGGTGATGGAAGTATCAAGCATTGGCTAGACTTGGATGAATCTGACCGCAATCACGTCAAGAGTGTGTTCTGTTCAGTAAGGGTGATGAAAGTATCAAGCATTGTGCTATTGCTAGGGCATACTCACACTAGCACTCTCCAGAATGCATCTGACTGCAATTACGGCTAGACTTGGATGAATCTGACCGCAATCACGTCCAGAGGTTTGTCGAAAAGGTCCTAATGTGAGTATGGCCTTAAACCAGCCCAGCACATCTTACCAGCCATTTCCTTAAAATGAACATTACATATTCTTCGAAGTTCGAAAGACATTGAAACCAACTTATTTCGCCCATTTATTTTATTTTATTTTTTTCACAGTTTTTGTCTTAAAAATTTGGACCATTTCTCGATTTAATGTGCGTGTCATCCTTGAATGCGGAGGGGCCATGCTAATCTTCTTTCTCTGTATCGTTCCAATATTTTAACGGATGTCCCGAAGGACATTTCGCCCATTTTTTGCGTCCTGCAGATCGGGCGTTCGTAAGATACCAGGCCCCCCTGGATGCATCTGCTGTAACCCCTGGATGTACCTGGACTTCAGCTAAGTCGATATACGTCCAGGGGTCCGGCATTTTACCCCTGGATGTACCTGGACTTCAGCTAAGTCGATATACATCCAGGGGTCCGGCATTTTACCAACGCACGATGACGGCACGAGGTGTGAAACAAGCTTTTCAACTCACTGCTAGCAGAGTAGCAGAGAACGAAAACCCGTTCACCAAGGGGGAAAAAAAAAAAAAAAAAAAAAAAAAAAAGGGTGTACCAAGCAAGCACTGGCTACTTCACACAAGTAAACCCCGGGAAGGGGTCTAGCAATCTGCTCAGCCTGAGCAAGTATTACTCTACGCAGCCTGACACCGCATGAGCTGGGTAAAAGCTTCACTAGGACACTGTCATGATTTTTCTTTTTTTTCCTGTTTTTTTTTTTTCTCTTTTTTTTTTTTTTTTTTTTTTTTTTTTTGGTCTTTTCTTGCTCTCATCAACAATTACCTGCAGTTTCAAGGATAACTCTCTGAACATTCACGCGGCCGACCAAATCACCGTGACGAAGCGACCACAGCCTGCTGTAGATGCTCAGTCTGATCTGGAGCGCTGACTTTCGTCTTGACCCTGGACGACGGGGAAGGGTTTGCGTTCATCTGGTCCTCTCTCCCTTGTTGTCCTTCCAAAAGATACTCGATCCACGCCTTATGGCCGGCCTCGCCCTTGCCGGCGCCCGGACTTCCTTGCACTGATGTGGGAAATTTACCAGCTTTGCCTGATGGATCTGGACTGCCGTCTTGGCCAGGGGAGTTGGCGTTGCCCTCTGGTCCCAAGCTGCCGAGAAACAGCGCCCGCCGTCTCAAGGGGGAAAAGGCTCCACCAGGAGGAGATGCCGGGGAGTTCACTGACTTCGAAGACGATGACGACAGCGGTGACCTCTCAATCAACCCCGGCCAATTCGTCTGCCACTGAAAAGCACCACATCGACAAGAACAGAATCAACAGATGGATCCAAAAAAAAAAATCAACAGATGGATGCCATTTCTGTTGTCTTTTTTCTGTCCTGTATCTGGACGTTGTATTGTGTTAGATTCCTTTTCTCATCCACTAAACAATTATCGCTTCAGAGATGAACGTATACGGAGTCTCAGCAACAACGACTGTATTTGCCCGAGTATCGTCAACGGTGTTGATTAAGTCGGGGCCGTCTCCTCCTGAACTTCTGAAAAAAAAAGGAAAAAAAAAGAAGGCAGGCCAACGACCTTGCACTTGCACTCTCTTACACACACACACACACACACACACACACACACACAAGAGCGTACACAGGGCATTGCACGTCCGTGCACACCGACACACATACACATTTTCAGGACAAATGTAAAAATTAATGACACAGAGCACTGCACACACACACACACACACACACACACACACACACACACACACACAACAGCAGACAGGGCATTGCTCGCGTGTGCACACAGACACATAGAAAATTAATTTGTGTGGCCCCATAGTAGAGCTTTAAGCCTTTAACAGTTGTACAATGGGAAACTCGGCCGGATTTCCAGCAGGTGTGGCTCCCCATCAATAGACCAGAGCACCTGAGGGCGGTTGCTAGGGGGAGAACACTCAGATCGTCCCCTCTAGCAATTCCCCGAGGGGCAGTCCAAAAAGAAAAAAAAAAACACTCCCGAAAGCGCTGCCCACTTTCCCTCTTTCTTCATTCATGCCCTTCCCAAAAAACAAAAGAAAGAACAAAGGACTCGATCGATCAGCTTCCCATGATAGAGCTCCTTTATGAGTCTTCATTCGACGAACCCACTAAACCGAGATATCGAAGAGGCTCGTTACGAGCCATCGCTCGATGAACTCAGTCAGTGCGGACATCGAAGAGGGCTTCAATGCCCTCCATAAATCCAGATACCATCCCTAGTGATTGCTGGCTGCCTTCTACATTATCGACAATAATTCACTGCCACAGGCAAATTCCATGGGGATTTGGACTCAGGTCTATATTTCGGATTATTTCCACATTCGTAGGTATACCAGAACTGCATTATGGGCCTATGGCCATATATAAATTCATCCAGAGAAGCACTTAAGCTGATGTGAACTTTTCAGGGAAAACAGCGTCGTCTTCTTCCTGTTTAGGGAAGCAAATTTCGAAAGGTAGCAGATCCTGCATCTGGACTGAAAGTTGCCCCACATGCGGCTACAATGACTGGGCGTTCTATTCGGGTGGAAGGCGGTAGCATTGTGGTATTCACCGATGAGCTGAAGTTTCACTAATGCTAAGGGCATACTCGAGCCAGGACTACAGATGCTGGGGCCATAGTCAGAGTGGGACTGTAGACACGAAGGGCATACTCGCGCTGGGACTACAGACCATACTTGCAAGTCGACGCCGCAAGTGCGGCGGACTGCCGGACCGGACCCGCGCGGCGCACGAATGTGCGCCCGACAACCAGTTACCCCCCACCCGCCCCCCCCCCAAGAAAAACGGCCCTGTCCGGTCCAGTCCGGTCCGGTCCGGGTCCGTCTGGTCCGGGGGGAGGGTGCCGACCGGACCGGACGCTCGTCCGGTCCGTCCGCTTGCAAGTATGCTATAGACGCTAAGGGCATACTCAGACTGGGACTATAAATGCGAAGGGCATTCTCACGCCGGGACTATTTTAGGGAGAAACGAATTTGGGAAGGTATACGCAAATGAGCTGAAGTTCTATTGATGCTAAGGGCATGGGACTATTTTAGGGGGACCCGATTTGGGAAGGTAGCAGATTAGCCCGCCCCTAGCTTCGTAGTATCCGCCAATGAGCTGAGGTTCTATAGATAGATGCTAAGGGCATGGTCACGCTGGTACTACAGACTCATGAGGGCATACTCACACTGGGACTACAGATGCTCAGGGCATACTCACGCTGGGACTTTTTTTTAAAACAAAACAGAACCTTATGGTTCTGGCTCCTTTTCCATTCTGTGGAGCATCAGTCCAGTTCCTATCCCCCCGGCAAGTCAAAGATAGTACAATGGTTACTCACTCACGCTCCTCCCCTTATGGCATGGAGGACGCTGGGACTATTGCAGGGAACCGAATCGAATTTTGGAGGGTCGAGGATCAGCCAGCCACTGACACTATAGTACTTGCCAATGAGCTGCAGTTCTACAGATGCTAAGAGCATACTCACGCTGGGGCTATAGATGCTAAGGACAGACTCACACTGGGGCTATAGTCTATAGATGCTAAGGGCATACTCGCGCTGAGACTATTTTAGGGAAGCGGATTTGGGAAGGTAGCAGACTGGCCAGCCCCTAGCTTTGTAGTATCCACCGATGAGCTGAAGTTCTATAGACGCTAAGGGCATACTCACGCTGGGACTACATATGCTGACGGCATACTCACACTGGGACTATAGATGCTAAGGGCACAATCAACATGGGTCTATTTTAGGAATTTTTGTGAGTGATATTGGCACAATCAACATGAGTATGCTCTTAGCATTGTAGTATTCGCCGAAGAGCTACAGATGCTAAGGACATACTCATGTTTAGACTATAGATGTTAAGAGCATACTCCCGCTGGGACTATATGCTCTTAGCATTGTAGTATTCGCCAAAGAGCTACAGATGCTAAGGACATACTCATGTTTAGACTATAGATGTTAAGAGCATACTCCCGCTGGGACTATTTTGACTACATTTTTGCCAGTCATTACGGCTAGATACATCCACAAAAGTCCCTCGTTTAGGCACGCACCCTAAGAGTTGTGAAACCCATAATCACTCACAAATTTGCATCCTCATTATGCACAGTTGAAAACAGATGTCATCTTAAATGTCTATTCCTCGCAAGGAAACAAACATTTTCTTCCTCGATCGATTATTCCTTTCACCGTTTTGGAACCTTCTTCGCACATACATTGAAGAGGTCATTTTTCTTCTGTACTCCTAAAACAGCATTCGGGAACGTGCATCTGTATTTGGGCCAACTTTCCATCCACATACTGCAGTAATGACACTGTTGTAAAATCCCAAGTTTTACCGGGGATGAAAAGTCGGAAAAACTACTGTTCACCCGATTACAACCCCCGGTCATTCTCGCTGTACCTACCGGAAAGTTGCCCCGAATACAGCTGTAGTCCCAGCGTGAAGACAGTCGTCTTCCCCCGAACACAATGCACCCTCATTTTGACTTTATTGTGTCGAAAAAGGTCGTTCGTATAGCATTATGCTCAGGGGAAGGTGATAGTATCCCCCCTTGGGTCTGTCATTTTGACTCTATTGTGTCGAAAAAGCTCGTTTGTATTGCATTGAAGCTTGAGACTGTTGTTGTGATCGGTTGTTATATGGGGAAACTGTTGGCTGTGACACGCGTTTAGTTTGAAATAGGAAAAAAAAAGAAAGAAAAAGACAAAGTGCCGCCGGCGTCATGGTGTGAGTTTCGAAATGTGTGCAAGTTCAGCGGGGTCTAAAACCGCGCCAGTCAGTACAGTACCCGCAGTGGCGCTTGGCAGATTTAGGGGCGCCTTTTTTGCTCCATTTTGGGAACTGCTAATTGAAGTCGCCTATTCAGAACATTGGGTGCGACTCCAACATACTTGCCCCTTGTTATATTGTCTCATTTTGCTTTCAGTGTTGGGTGTTTCTGTTATGTATCTGCCGGGCTGGTCGCCGGGTGGCCCGCGTGGCCCTGCCTCCCAAAAGGCTTGCCAGGCGAACCAGCCGGTTCGCCTCCAGGCGCCCCAGCACAATTTGGAAAGGGGCAGGGTCCAAAGGCCGAAATCGGTCTGGGCGGCTTCCAGTAGTCCCCCGCGAGCGAGCTGCATTTCTGTACAAGAAAACTGGAGCCTACCAGCCCTTCTCTCTCAATAGAAAACTGGAGCCTACCAGCCCCTCTCTCCCAATCCTTTCCCCAAAAGACCTGGGCCGATTTCGCAAGATCAGCGGCCTCAATCTGCCTGGAGCAGATGCACCTTTTGACAGGTCAGTTCAGGGCTCATAATTGAATGCTGAACTGGCCCTCCAAAGCATTCGCTGTTTTAATGAGCGGCCACAACGGAAGTTCGCTCTGCCTCCCCTCCCTGTTTGTGCTGCCACCGACAAGGCAAGGAAGCTCCCCCCTCCTCCTCCCCCCTCCTACTGGCCAGCATCTCTCCTCCCCTTCGATATCTCTCCCTCCCCTCGCCAGCATCTCCCCTCCCCTTCGCCATCGCCTCCTCCTCCCCTTTCCCATCGTGTCCTGCTCCCCTGTGTGATGTTTCCCACCCCCATGTCTCACACCTCTCCCCCCTTCGCCATCACGTCTCCCTCCCCTATGCGATGTTGCCTGCCCCCCCATTGCGAGCACCTCGACTCCACTTCGCCATCTCCTCCCCCTCCACTACATCAGGTTTCTTGGCCCCCATGATAAGCACCTCGCTCACCTTCACCATCGCCTCCCCCTCCTGGGCCTCCCCTTAGCACCTCCCCTCTACCACCTCGCCAACCCCTGCACAACATTGCGCGCCCCCTCCCCCCCCTCCTCCTCCTTCCACATTGCCTCCTCTCCTGTGCGACCTTATCCGCTCCCCGGCCAGCACCTCCCGTCCCCTTCCCCATCGCATCCTTGTCCC